CAAGGTGTTGTCCAGCATTGCTCAATCCAATGTACTCTGACTCCGTGGAGGATAAAGCTACCATGCTTTGTCTTTTGCTTGTCCAGGAGATTGCTCCTCGGATGGTGATATAAACAAAGCCTGATGTTGATTGAGGCGTGTCTGGGTCTCCAGACCAATCTGCATCTGAATATCCATAGAAATCCATGTCCATGGAGACATTTGTGACATCATATACTAGTTCCATATCCCTGGTTGCTTTCAGATATCAGAGGACACATTTTGCAGCTTCCCAGTAATGGCTCCTTGGAGCTGAGCTATGCCTGCTTAGTATTCCAACAACATAGGCAATGTCTGGGCGGGTTCCGAGCATGGCATACATGAGGGAGCCTACAATTGAGAGGTATGACACTTGACGCCCTTCAATATGCATCTTGTGTTGCACAATATCTTCCCCTGGAGCATTTGCAAGGAGTTTTGATCCATGGGCCATTGGTATCCATACTGGTTTGCAGTTCTTCATTCCAGTACACTCCAGGACTGTGTCAATGTATTGGCGTTGCAATAGGGATATTGTATTGTTTGAACGATCACGTTGGATTTCTATTCCGAGGTTGTATTTTGCTTCTCCAAGGTCCCGCATTTTGAATATGGATTCGAGTTTGGCTTTTGTGATATCCATGAATTTTTGGGATGAAGCTCCTAAGAGGAGGTTATCTACATAGACAACAAAAAAGCATATTTGTTTGTTGTCATGGAATACATAGAGACATGTTTCTGCATTTAGTCTTGTGAAACCGAGCTCCTGGAGCTTGCGATCAAAAGTTTTGTTCTATGTACGACCAGCTTGTTTTAATCCGTAGATGGATTTCTTCAACCTCCAGCAGTATCCAGGTTGGATAGGAACACCCCTTGGAGGAAGCATGTACAGTTCTTCTTCAAGTTCTCCATTGATATAAGCTGTGGATACGTCCATTTGATCAAGTTCTAGGTCGTACTTTGCTGCCAGGGCTAGAATAATTCGGATTGACTCCAAGTTTGCAACCAGAGCAGAAAGCTCCTGGTAATCAATCCCCTCCCTTTGAGTAAAACCTCGTGCAACAATCCAGAGTTTGTATCTCTCAACATTTCTGTTTTGACTAAACTTGATCCGGAACACAGGTTTTGATGTGATAGGTTTTACTCCCTTTGGAAGTGGGTTAGTGTTATATACTGCATTAATATTGAGACTTAGGAGCTCCTCTTCCAAGGCAGACTTCCATAATTCTCCATCCGGACGTGATAATGCTTCCTTTAGTATCCTTGGAAGGTCTGTGTTAGATGGACCGGTACTTGCTATTCCAGCAAAGAATGTCTCCTCTGTATCAGATGTTTCTTCATGAACCTCAGGTTTCTCCATGGAGTTGTCATGCTGCTCTTTTTGAGACTGTTCCTCATCTAGAGTCCTTTGATAATCTCGGTTTTTGTCTGCAGGATGGGTCTGGCGACTGCTTCTGCGTACTCCTAGGACTTCAGCAGGCATGACTGCTCTTTTAGGAACTTGTGCAGGTACTCCAGGGAGTAGACATATTTGTGTATTTGTTGCCCCACTCACTCCTGAAGGTGTTGAATCACTCCTCGGAGGTGTTGGATGACTCCTTGGAGGTGTTGTATGCCTTCCAGAAGCTGATCCAATGGACAAGCTGTCTAGCTGTATTCGGACTTTTTCCACATCAGCTGGCTGTATGTTGAGGGGCTGTCCTCCCACTGACTGTAACTCTACTTTGGGTTTCCGTTCTGAAGATGGCCAGTGTTCAGGTCTTGGTTGTAGAAACTGTTGTGGAGGGTGTCTTAGCTGATCAGGTGCTCCCACTGCTCTCGGAACGTCTCCACGGAGGTATTGCCTCACTGCTCTCGGAACATCTTCATGCTGATATGGTTCCATTGCTTGTGGAACATCTCCTTGGAGATGTGGTTCCATTTGTAATTCATTTGGATCTCGGATCCAAGGGTCAGGATCATCCTCCTCCAATGTTTTTTGGTCTGGATAGTGAGCATTCTCTGGAATGAGTCCCTCCCACTGATCTGTGCTAGTGTCTGCGTTCCAGGGAGCAGTGTCATCCTTTTGTACCTTTCAGGATTCATTGAATATGACATGCCGAATGGAAAACACAGTCCGTTTTTCAGTGTCTAGGAGTTTGTAGGCTTGCTTTCCATGTGTGTAGCCAATCATTATGGCTTTGTGCCCCTTGGAGTAAAACTTCCCTTGCCTTTTGTCTTTCGGAATCAAGGCATATGCTTGGCATCCAAAAGGGCGAAACAAAGTTGGATCAACTCTCCTTTTAAACAGTATTTCATATGGGGTCTTTCCATGGAGTCCTGATTCTGGGCTGCATGTTGTAATATATGCAGCTGTTTGCATGGCATCTACCCAAAATGACTTTGGGAGCTTGGAATTATGGAGCATAGTGGTTGCTAATGTAGCCAATGTCTGATTCATGTGTTCTGCAATGCCATTTTGTTCCGGAGTATCTGCAGCTGTAGTTTCTTGGATGACACCATCTCCTCGGAGTTGATTTTTGAATGCATTGCCAGTATATTCTCCTCCCCCACCGCTCCAGAGGAATTCTGTGTATAGTGGAGTGAAGTTTTCTTCTCCCAAATGAGTCCGGAAGAATGTTTGGACATCTTCTTTCCATTGCTTGTATCATTTCAGTGCTTCACTTTTATGTTTTAAAAAATATATCCATGGAAATTTAGAGAAATCATCTACAATGATAATCCAGTACCGAAAACCCTCCCTGGAAGTTGGTTTGATTGGTCCTCCAACATCTGTGTGCACAATTTGTATGGGGTGCTTGGCTCCGTTTCCTCCAGTGGACTGGAAAGGTAATTTCTTCATCTTTCCTAAAGCACAAGGTTCACAAAACTCCGGGGTTCCGGTAAGGGTGTCTATGTCCTGGAGCTGTCCTTTTGTAACCATTCGTTGCAAGCGGTCCATTCCAATGTGTCCCATTCTCCTGTGCAATAAATTTACATCTACTGCTGCAAAAGCTGACTCCGGGTTGATTTTGGGTTTTGCTTGGATGTGATAAAGTCCTTGCTTGTGTAACGCAGTGAGGATAAGTCACTCCTCTTTCCAAACTTCACAAGTGTTTGACCATGCTGGAAAAAGTGTTGATAACCCCGTTTTGGACAATTTGTGGACAGAGACGAGTGCTAAAGTGAAGTTTGGCACAAGTAAGACATTTGACAGTGCAATATTGTAGTCCTTATTGCTAACAGTTGCTTGTAGCATTACTGTTCCAATGCCAATGGCATTTACAGAGGATTCATCCCCAAAACTGATTGTCCTCGGAGGATGCAGAACATGGTATGTTCCTGGCTCAAACCAGGAGCGGTGAGAGACCATGTGGGATGTTGCTCCGGAGTCAATAATAATCATTGTTTTGGTCTTATCGGCTTCCGACACAAGGTAAGCTTGAATGCATTTAGCAAGGGGCTTGGAAATATGTACATGTTCCAATGCAATATGACTCTGTTCCTCCTCGGAGTCAGATCCAGATGATTGCTCCGCCGAAATTTGCCTTTTCCTTCTCTTTTCCTTTATCCTTGTGTCTTTCCTTTCCCTTCTTCCTTTGACCTTTTCTGGCTGACTGAAGTGTTTGACACTCCGAGGTGTTGTGTTTTGGCTTTGTGGAAGTCACACCACTTCTCCTCGGATTTGGGTGCTGTTTCGGAACCTCCAGGGGCCTTCCCTGACTGTCGTGCAACTTCTGCAGTGATCCGGATCTCAACTGCATCAAAGGTAAGTTTATTTTCTTCAATTGTGTTGATTACCGATGACTGAAATATTTGCCATTCAGGAGTGCATGGGAGAGATTGGAGAAGAGCAAATGCCATGAGTTTGGTATCAACTCCTAGTTTCATTCTGGAGAGGCGTGAATCAATTGTCCGGATTTTTGCAATGTGGTCCTGGATAGGTGATGTCCCATCCCAGGACAATGTGGTGAGTTGCTGGAATTAATAGAAGGCCGAGGCAATGTTGGACGTCTGATGGAGTGAGACAAGTTTATCAAATAACTCCTTGGAGCTGGTGAGGTCTCCAGTCCTCATTAGGAGGGCATTGGAGATGTGGTCCTGGTTGATTCTATGTGCCTTCTCATCCTTAAGTATCCAGGTGATCTCAGGATCCTCCGAGGAGGTAGGTTTTCCTGGTGAGGGCTTAAGCTCCTCTCCAGTAATAACCCGGAGAACTTTTTCCCGACGTAGCTTTGAGATGATCCGGAGTTTCCATATCTGAAAATTGTTGGGTCCAGTGAGAACTGGACATGCGGATGTATCGTGTGCTGTGGTCATGGTTCCGAGGTTGCTGTTTCAAATAAGAATTATTTCCTGCGTAGCTTTTGCACACCAGGGCTCATAACCTAATAAAACTATGTGAAACTCAGCCGCTGCCCAAGAGGCTATAGAAACAACTTTATTATTTACCTAAGTGAAAATACAATAGATGTTAGTTCAAGGTGATCTCTAATAAATGTAATGTAACATACCTCAGCCGCTGCCTGAGAGGCTATAGAAACGACTGAGGTATTCCTATACTAAACCCCCTACTACTTATAGTCGGAGGTGCTACTTGCTACAGTATAATGACTCCTAGGAGTACAATTGTGCTCCTAGGAGAACAATGGTGACTCCATGGATTGGTGGCTATGCTCCATGGAGAACAATGGCTGCTTTGGCAGAGACCGGGTTTATCCAGTTTTGTCATAGCTTTCAACAAATGAGAGGAAATATGTCGACTCATTTCTACAGACTATGTACAGATGTTGATAACAATCACTTTCGTGCCTCCGCAACCCTCCGCATGCCAGCCACCATCGCGGGCATTAATAAACATTGGATCGGCATATCGGCGAGCTTGAGTCCGAACTGGCTCTAACGTTTTGGTGTCACTGTGGCCGAAACAAAGGATATTGGGGAATAACGGAGTTTCAAATGCGAAAATTTCCCAAATTTAACTGTTGGGTTTTTCTCTCTTTGCACTGCCAAGTATCATGTTCCACCTCGCATCGCAAAGTATATCAATAGCGAAACCCACAAGTCCTTTATCAAATGGTATGTTTTTTCTTTCAAATATATTTGTATTCTGCGGTTGATAGGTAGCAAACTGAATTGCAGCCTTGTCCTCTTTTGCACGTGGCCGACGCTGGACAAGGAATTCTAATCCATTTGCCTATGGTCCTGGTATGATCTTTGAGGCCGTGTGCCAGTGCACTAATTATGTGGAATATTTTCAGTTCGGGGGTATGCTGACACCACGATTAAATTCTCGCGCGTCAAACCACACATGAATATTGGAACAATTGGCAAGTCTTACAGCAATACGTTATCTCCTGTTTCATTGACTTCAAATTCTCAGGTCATGTCGACCACGGCAAGACGACTTTGACCGCTGCGATAACCAAAGTCTTGTCGAGCCATGGCGCGGCTGAGTTCACCGACTATGCTCAAATTGATAAAGCTCCTGAGGAGAAAGCTCGTGGTATCACAATTAACTCTGCACATGTCGAGTACGAGACAGACCAACGGCATTATGGCCATATCGATTGTCCTGGTCATGCCGACTGTAAGTTCTTAACCATGCTATTGACGTAACTCTTCTGATTCAGGTACCGGTCTTACAGATATAAAAAATATGATCACTGGTGCGGCACAAATGGACGGCGCAATCATTGTTGTTTCTGCTACGGACGGTCAGATGCCACAGACTCGCGAACATCTTCTCTTGGCTCGCCAGGTGGGTATCAAAAAACTAGTAGTTTTTATTAACAAGGTGGATATGATCGAAGACCCCGAAATGCTGGAACTGGTCGATATGGAGATGCGGGATTTGCTGTCTACCTACAACTTTGACGGCGAAAATACTCCAATTATTATGGGATCGGCCCTTGCTGCCTTGGAAGAACGAAATGACGAAGTAGGTGCACGAAAGGTTGAGCGTTTGATACAGGCCTGTGATGAATGGCTCGATGTTCCCGCCCGTGAGTCGATTTATTTTTTCTATCGGAAGTCTTTAACCAACAAGTATTAAGGTGACCTCGAGAAACCCTTTCTTATGCCCATTGAAGGTAATTTGACATGGCTATGCAAATCCATGGCTGATGCTTTGCAAAGATGTCTTCTCTATATCTGGGCGTGGGACAGTAACCACTGGGCGCGTGAGTATATCTTATCTCGTCACTTCAGTCGCTATTGAACTTGTTTTTTCCGTTGCAGGTGGAGCGGGGTGTCGCCAATAAAGGCGATGAAGTGGAAATTGTTGGCTTGGGCAGCACATTCAAGACCACATTAACAGGCATCGGTATGTCATGTATTACCAAATTTCAATTGCACTCAACCATACGCTTTAGAGATGTTCCACAAAGAGCTTGATAGAGTATGTTTCCTTTAGGTCACTATTCCTACTTTATATCAATTCGTTGATATAATAGGGCGAAGCTGGTGACAATATGGGTTGTTTGCTTCGTGGTGTAAAGCGTGAACAAGTCCGCCGTGGACAAGTGATTATTGCACCAGGTTCAATGAGAGCTGTCAAACAGTTCCAAGCTCAGATTTATGTCTTGACGAAGGACGAAGGTAAGATAAATCGGCCACTGTCAGTAAGTATCATTTGACATCATTGTAACAGGCGGAAGATATACCCCATTTATGAGCAATTATCGCCCACAACTCTTTTTACGAACCGCAGATATAACTGCGTCGCTCACCTTTCCCAACGGCACCGACGATGCCTCTGAAAGAATGGTATGTCGCACGTTGCGTTTCTGGAGCCAAATATAATTCCCGGAATTGGTAGGTTATGCCAGGCGATAATGTTGAGATGGTATGTACCTTGGTTCACGATGTTGCTGCCGAAGCGGGTTCTAGGTGCGCGCTTCAGAGCCACTTACTCTGTACAGACTTCCTAAATTGTAGTAGATTCACACTTCGCGAAGGCGGTAAAACCAGTATGTGGCAACATTGTAATTTCTCGTATCAATCCACTGATTACTTTGAAAGTTGGTACAGGCATCGTAACAAAAGTTTTGCAGTACGCCTGATCCAGGACGAGAAATGGGAAATGTGGCCTCTATTGAACCACCAGTGGCTCAGGCGCAACGCAGCTGTTTACACTTGATATCCTTTGATGGCAAGCCTAACTAGGGCTGGAATTCACTTGCTCTCCCTTCTCTCCTCCTGTCGTGTTTCTCATATAATTCCTAGTCTTGAGAGGTGGTATATTAGCATTATACTACGGTGTAGCTACATCTGAGTGAAATATTTCCTAAAAAGAATAATGGAGAAAAATTCTATAAAATAAAACGAGGTTAGTTCAAAAACGCCATCTGAACTTAAGATCTGGTATGTTACTATCCGCATATAGTTAAAGACAGGCAGAGGGATTTCTACCGACGCAGATTAGATATTTAGCTACTTATCAGTTTGCTTATCAGAGCTCATAATCACACAGGGCCCAATATCAGAACGAGATATGAGATCTGATCACGGGAAACAAATCGATTTTTCGACCAAATACAATGTACAGCTATGAAACAACTATGAGGCAAAGTACAATGAACCGAGAACAATTGTATGAGAAGAACTATCTAGACCCCAGGAGAAGTGAGTAAGCGAGAAACAAAAAGCAATGAGAGGACTTACAAAGAAAGCCCGCGCTCGACGATGAGCTCTACATACTCATCAAACTGCGTGGATAGCGCATCGTCACCACAGATCTTCTTCATATCTGCAAGGTACTTGAGGTAGAAAGGCCTGTAGACACTGGCCATAAAAAATTGTTCATTGTAGGTGCCGGTTTGATGCTCAACTTGGGCCGCATATATAGCGGTAGCGGCTAGACAGATGATGATGTCTAGTTTTTTGTCTAACCTTTGAATGTCGTCCACAAGTACATGGCCCATCATCTCCTTACGCTTGTACAGCGTAGCCCAAACCAAGTTTGGGATCAAGCCTGCTACCAAGATGAGGCCAAAGGTTGAAGTCAGTTTCAATGGTCCCTGACGTGTTATGCTTCCATGGATAGCGTAACCTTGAGATCACTATTACAACAGAGTCAGCAGCGTCCTTGGGAATTGAGAATGTCCCCGCTAAGTGTATATCAAGTGTCAGTGAATGAAAGAAGAAAGCTAAAAGAAAAACACTTACTAACACCATTATTTCTAGCTACTTTGCCCAGAAACATCTTCGCAGTGGCTACTTTTTCTGACGCGGTAGGTAACACATTCTCAGTGAGTATGAACTTCTTCTATGTGCTCCTTAGGAACGTTACGACTATCCTGGAGCTGGGGAGTACATACACGTTTGGGCTATGAGGATTTGGTGCCATCGCTGGAACAGGCTGGCTAGATGGTGTTGGATCACAGGCTACAGTTGCAGCAGGAGGTGTCAGTGTGGGGGCAAATGCGAGAGAGGGTTCCTGGTGCGTTGGATTTGGTTGACGTTGGTTGGTGGGTCAACTGGCTGTTTTGCACAGTGCATTGTAATCAGCGTCATATGTAGAAAATAAAATAAACAACTTACACGGATTACCCCGGAACTGATGTTGTCTTCACAGCTAGGATCTTCTCCTGGCCGCAAATACGCATTGCCTCCTGGGAGCTCAGGCCAAGCAGCAATTGGCACAGTGTGAGCAAAAGTAATAGGGGAGGGCTGCTCAGAACAAGGGGGAGCTAGAGACGATGGGGCTGGTGTGACAATACAAGAGGTTGATGCAGTCTGAGATGTCAATGTGTTCACACTGACTGGGGCAAAGTTGTCCTCTTCAAAAAACGACTGTGAAAAGAAATTGTCCAGTGATTGGCTATGATTGTACTGATTGTACGATTGCTGAGACACTGGTGGGTGGGAGACTGGAGACGGGGGCCCCATCTGCTGATTGAACGTTGAGGGCTGAGGCCCTGATATCTGCAACATCTGTTCAATTTTCTCAGTGGAGACAGAATTGGGCTGATAGTGAGGGGGTAACAATGGTCTGTCAGCTGAGCTATCTAGTTGCGGGGCAAGCGAGAGCCCAGCAGCATTTAGGTTTGATCCCTTCTTTGGTTTTAGTGGTTGCTTGAAGTGACTGATTAGTCACAATGCTGGTAGACTCTTGATGTACTTACCTTTTTCTTTTCCTTGCGGGGGTTTGCTAACCCTTTCAACTCCCTGTGTTTCTCCATGACCACGGCCACGGCCCCTACCACAACCCTGACCACAACTGCTATCTTCACCTTCAGGATTATTGCCTCAAGAAACACGCCAGTGCGTTGATCAGTCTTCAAGAGGCAATATCTAAATAGCTACTCACCAGATCCTGCAATATCCACTTGGAATCGAAACATCAACATGGTGATTGTGGAGATCAAAGATACAAAGGGCCGGCAACTTTTATATTTGGAGTACCTTGAGGCGTACTTCTCGTGAATTCTATAAACTTACATAGACTTACATAAGAGTGGACGGCATTCGACATTCATACAGAAAAGCTAAAGACAGTGTAAACAAAGAAGATGCAGTTTGACACAAAGACCAAAGACCCCCATCCTATTACTGTAGATTACTAGATCAATATGAGTACAAGAATCTGAGGACAAGGACTGACCATAGCATCCTTCTCATCCTGATACTCCAAATTATACTTGTCGGATGGAATGGTATCAGGGTTATAATTGTCTGGAATGCCATCAGAGCTCCACCCATTGTCACCGTAAAGGGATCCAGGACTAATGCCTGCATGAGGGTTGTTGTCTGGATCTGCATAGCTCATGCCATTCTCATCCATAAAACCTTTGAGCACTGAAACCTCCTTATCAACTTTCATGAGGTTTGTGCGGCTGGCATTTAATATATTTTGATGGAGGCCCATCATTCCTGACGAGAGCTTGATATTCCAAGCACTGAACTGGAGTTTGCATGGTAGTTTCTCTATCTTGGCTGTCTGAATTTTGAAGGCCTTCTGAACGTTGTCGGGAGTAAGGTCATCCTTATCAGGGAGCATGAAATACAAGCTCTTCGTAAGTTCTTCTACCTAAACATGTCAGAGATCATTAATGAATTATTGCTAGCTGAGAGTCTGTGAATCCTTACTGCATGTTGGGAGAAGTGTTTGGTACAGAAGACTCTATAGGTTTGATTTTTGTAGCAATCTTTGTGATAGAAGAGGGTAGTTTCTTTCAAATTGGTCCGTTATAAGTCTTCCAAGTGCGAGAATAAGGAGTGTATGTAGTGACTCTTTTCAACAAGCGGGGCAAGTGTAGGACAGGACCTTTGTCCTTGTGTATGATATAGGGCTGGGCACCTATGAAATTGGATTCTTCCCCCTGTGAAATACCAGCTCTGTTGTCACAAGGCATCTCAAAGTCAGAGGTAGGGGGGAAATCATTTTTGTTTTTGGTGTCAGAATTACCGGGAGAACTGTTGGGAGATAGGTCTGGAAGATCAGTGAGCAGGACACTCTCACCAGAAGACATGATAGCAGGAGGGGATGATGAATGGTCGGAGTTTAAAGGACTCAGAACAACTTTTACTGAACTGCACTACAATGTGAGTACTGGATGATGATGTGGTAGTAGACTTACCAGGTGTATTGCAGACATGGAACAACCTATCCACGATGGCCTTATGGATCAAGATTTTGTCAATTGTCCTACTGAGGGGTGCTCTGCGCGGTTCGAAGATTGGCAAGAAGTTATCACTCACCTCAATGACCCTTTTCTCTCCTGCATTCCAGTACCCTTTTCTACTGCAGATAGTGAATGATCTCACCTGTGGAATGATCTTGGCAACTTACCTACTAATCTGCCTCACTGGGAGAATCAAGACATCCACCCATTGGGAACCAAAATCTCTTATCACCCTCACTCAGCATATGACTACGGCTGACTACTGAATGTTTTAGAAGAGATGAATGCTGATCAATATGCACACAAACACATTCACAACATATTTTGGCCCTTAGCCTCACAGAACGAATGGGAGCTGGCAAAATTCCTGATAGAATCGCTCGCTCAATCAATCACAGTTTGATAAGTTCTTGAAACTTGCTTGGGTAAGCTAGGATTTATTGAATGCTGACACTTTACTAGACTAAAGATCTGTCAAAGTTGAGTTTCAGTTCTGCATATTGTCTAACTTCTTTTTTGGAGGTACTTCCAAGTGGGCTTGTATGGAAAATGGAAAAAATAAAGGCGAGAAATTATCAAACAGAGAAACCCATGATTTTACTGTATAGGGATGGTTTGGATGTTGTGAAGTCGCTTTTTGGAAACCCTGTCTTCGCTAAACACATGATGATGGACCCAAAATGAGTATGGAATAGCAAGGGTGAACGGGAGTATAGTGAGTGGATGACAGGTGACTATGCATGGGCTATACAGGCATGTGAATTCTACTTCACCACAATTTCTCAACCTGATAAATATTTTAGGACCAGCTTCCTACCGGTTCTACGCTTGTAGGGGTTATTGGTGCTTTGGACAAGTCAACAGTCACTCAGGGAACAGGTGGCGTAGACATGCACCCTACCTTCTTAATTCTCGCCAACATATCTTCTGACGTGCATATGAAAGCTAAATCACACTCTTGGCTGTGCACAGCTTTCCTACCAGTTCCAACATTCCTGGACTTCCATACCAAATATTAATCCATTCTGTCAGATTGCATCAGGCATTCATGTATGGACATTGTTACAAAAATCTGAAGGCCGCGACTAGCACAGGACTGTGGATGGCTGATCCAAATGGCGTAACCCGTCAAGCATATACACCTCTCATTGCTTGGGTTGCTGATTTACCAGAGCAGCAAATGATAGCATGCACGACAAAAAATCTCTCACCAGTCTCACATGCTCGCTTGAGCGAATTCTGCGATAATCAACCACATCGACCACGATTAAACATCAATACACTGTTAGCTATCAACAGTATCCAATGCAATATGTGGGACTTTGCCAAGTTTGTACCAGAAGCAAAGTCTAAAGGTCTCAGCCTCCTATCCGACATCAACAGTGAGACTCATTAGTCAGATTGCCTTATTGAGGCAATGAGGCTAAGTCGCGCCAAATGGTGTGTAAGCGCGATCCAGCAAAAGCACCAGCTGCACCTTGGAGAAAATTTGCCAGTGAACGACCGGCACAGCGAGCGGATCCTTTCGGCATGCTATCCAAAGGGTCTGTGCGCTGTGCCCGCCTTTCACCACAAGCACTTTGTTGGTTTTTCTCACATCTCCCATTATGGCTCGGTTTCAATGTCCGGTTTGCACCCTGCGCCACAACCTGCTGCTGCATCACCACCATCAGTAGTCTGTACTCGATGTTATACACAGCAACGAGTTCCTTAGTCCCCTCAGTCTCCATTCTCCAATGAATATCACGCAATGCCCTCCGGATCTCTCAGGTCATCAAGACTCAAAGTACCACGCAAGGTCAAATCGATCCCTGGCCTCCCCACCACTTCTTCTGATGGCCATCTCAACTTATGCTTGCAACCAGGGGTGAAGAGGCTGAACCAGATTGCAGAGGAAAGTGCAGAAGGAATAAGGAAGTGCCAAACAATGCTGCAGAGTACGTCTTGACTTCTCAGCATCTACTAACTGGGTATACTTTGTTACAGATATGCCTGTTGATGTTCGACAGGTTATGAACTGCGTTGCACTGGCATCCGGTGCTCAAGCGGACACAGATTTCTCCTTGCCTTCATACCAAGCGTTCTCTGTGGATTGGGTTGACGACAAAGACTTTTACCCTGTCATCTCGCATGAAGGAGGCGAGTACATCAATTCCATTTACCACGCCTACAAATCTCTTCAAAATCCACTCACTGGGTATGTCGACTAACCAAAACAAATCAACACTGATTTTATTTCTTTATGGTTTTAGCAAAAATAGAGCTTATAATCGTGGCAAACAACACCAAAGGCAACGACTGGAGTCCATGTACGGGCACTGGGACAAGATTCTCCCCAGCCTCGCTCATGCCTTCCTCACATGAAAACATCAAGTACCATCTACGACAGGTGAGCTCCGTGAAAGCCCCCATCATGTCTTTCAGGTGACAGTTATACGGACACTTAGTAAATGAGAAGGTGTCACTGGCAATCTACGACATCTCAGGCATGTTTGTAGGTTCTTGTCACCATGGAATAATTATTAAGGCCTGTGAGATGGTTCAGAGTGGCGAACTATATGTGAACACCATGTATCTATTATTTTGTTATCTTGCTGCTCACTAACTTCAAAATTAGTGCAAAATATCCCCTCGCTATTGTTGACCACATTCTTGATAATTACGGTTCTGATGTAGGCATTAGATATGACATTGGTTGTGCACATGAAGCCACCGTACACGCAAGCCAGCTCCTTGGTGATAAGGCTTGAAAACTACGCCTACAGCTTGTGGTCAACGCATTTCATGGATATGGCCACAACCGCCTTTGCCAGCTTTCCAAACATCCGCTTTACCTCACCGGATATGGCCTTGAAGACCTTGAAACTCTTGAACGAGTTTTTTCAGCTTCAAATTCTGTTGCCCGAGGTATCCGTCATGCTACCCGCTATCATTGGCTGCAGAGTATAGACCTTCATTTCCAGCAGTGGGATGATGACCAATATCAGAATATTAGTAAGTTAAATAATACTCGCTGTTCATTACTTGCACTGACGCTTCAACACGCTAGGTAAATTCCTGTACAATAACTATCAACAAGCACTTACCATCATCAAGGACTGCACTCCGCATGTGTCCGCAATGATCACCAAGCTGGGCATAAGAAAAGACTCTATCAAGGACTGGATCAAGGCAGAACACAATCTACTAGCAAACCTGAAGGATGAACCTGAAGAACGGGTGCTGGGTAGTGCATATGTCCGTGCATTTATTCAACGAAATAAAGTGGAGTAAGTTTTCAGTCCCATTGACTGGGTAGACATGTGGATGGCTTATACCGAGTCAGCATAAAATGGCAAACAGTTTCTGAATCATTCAGGGCTGTTGCCATTGACAGTGACGCAAACTATTCTCAACTATCTTGAGACACACAGCATATTGAAACTGCACGGCAAACAGCTATGCAGGAGCTTGTTGTTGCTATACGGGCTGTCGGCAATATTGAGGAGAAAATGGGTATTGTCAATCCGTGGACTACAGAAACACCAGAATATCAACAGACCCTTCAATATATGCACCAACAGGATGTCTACCGAGCACTGGACAAGCTGCAACAGTTAGTCATACAACATCTATTTGAACTCTCTAAAGCAAATATCGCTGGAACTGGTAAGTTATCTTATCTCTTGCTCCACTGGGCCCTCATTTGATGTTTAGAACCTTAGGTTATAAACTTTGAGTTGCCATTGGGAAAGCAATCAAGACACAGAGTAAAGCCATCCAGACTGCATTAGCAAGTACAACTCTCTCGCCATGGAGATGAATCCTTTTGCACCGATCTTACAATGGTCAGATATCATCAACTATGGTTTTGTGTCCGAATTTGAGCTGTTGAAGCATATATTATCACAGAAAGACATCACGAAGGAACCTTGCACTATACCTGCCCACCGTGAAGTGGCAAACCTGTTGAAGCATACATTATCACAGAAAGACATCACGAAGGAACCTTGCACTATACCTGCCCACCATGAAGTGGCAAACAAATATTTCAAGATCCTTCGAGCAAAGGAGGAGATTGAGAGGGTTAATATTGAAGTGCGGCGTCTGTGCACAGCCATTGTGGACAAACATACTGTCTTGCAACAGTGCTTTAAATGCCTACAAGCTACTGACCCAATCCTGGCTTCTGAAATTGAAGAGATTTGACAGAGACAGATACGGGTGGATTCCGTCTACATTATAAGGCTCAATGCTATTGAGTCATTGCCGGGGTTCAGTGGTATTTGAGGGACAGGCGTCCGGCTCTACAATACTGCCCGTACACTTAGGCCAGGTATTGTCACTGACATTGATGTCATAGATAGTGCCGAACACCAACATATTGAGGATGATATGCAACACATGCAGGATATTGAAGTTGCTGAGGATAATGAGATGAATGATGAAATGAACCGTCTAGAAGACTTTGTAGAGGCAATGGATAGTGTTAGCATACCATCTCATATGTTAGTTTGCTGGAAAATTTAACTACCGTTGAATGCTACCTAAAATGCTCGAGCTAAGTAGACTGCCAGTGTGTGTGGCTCAGACCCTAAATTTCTATCATTACTAAGAACCTAAGCCAAACACTGTCCATTATGTCTGATCCTGTTTGTTGTAATATTTACACATACTACAACTTACCTTCTCGTTACAAACCAGCACAGAATGGCACTGAACATTGAATGGTGTTCTGCTTAAAATCTAACCCAATTACATGTTTACTTCCTAGTAACAATGTAAATATTGTCCAGTATATTCTATGATGAATGTTATACAACTATATAATTTATGTATCTTGTATCTTGTTGTTGTAAACCAGTGTTGAATGTTGTCCAGCATATCTGACCCAGGAGTCAAAGACTCAGAACTTTTCAGAGGCTATTGTAACATCCTTAGTGTTAGAGTACATTTTTATTGAAGAGGAAAAATCACAGCTACAGCTTATTATATGTACCAATCTCAGCACATTGTATAAGCCTTCAATACTTAGCTGTGGTATCAGGACATGTTTGATGCTGTATCACATACTTGAGCTGCTACCATTAGTCGATCAATCAGTGATTGAGTGTTAGGGACCAGATCACTTAGTAACAACGGATCAATTGTTGAGTTAAGATATGCTTTTGACGAAAAAACCCACTCCCTAATAATCCATAATCTCCAAGTCACCCCCACACAACCACAAATTATCCAAGCACCAAACCCTGTAGTCTCTGGTGCACATCTTTATCCACACTTTCTGGTTCCTGCTCCAGTGCCAATGCAGACTCGTATCAATCCATCAAATGTTCAATTAAGCTCAAGTCCTTCTCAGGATCCTCAACAACCAGCACAAACAATCCCTTCTATTGCAAGTAAGTCGTCTCTACATACTTGTATAACAATTCTCTAACTGTTACTCGGTCAGCATTGGACTCACACTCATCTCAGAATCCCCAACAACTAGCGCAAGCAGCTAGTTATTTGAGCAGTAAGTCTCATCAACCTTATTGTTTATTCTCACAGTGAATAAAATTTATCTTGACATTAGCACAGGACATGCAGTTGCTGCCTTCCATACGTCAAAACCTCCCCAGCAATATCAACCAACCTGAAAGACTAGCTGATGAAAGGGATATTCAACAAATTTTGAGGCAGGCTAGAAGCAACCTACAACTGCAAGAGATAACAAGGTATTATTGTGATTGATACAGACAGCAAAGGCTCAAATAGGTTGTCACCTCCAAATCACAACCAGCATCTGCCAGCAGATGACAGTTGGATAATCACACCACTCGGTTCCCCCCCTCTACCAGACAATCCTGGGATGGTCCCACCTCTACCTCCTTCACTCGCATACTACACTGAACCAATGTTGTGGCATTTGGCTTTACACATGATGTGGAGTCTTTTCTGTGTTGCCGACAGACTTCAATGTGCTCTCTCTGCAAAATTGATGCCACACTAGATTATGACCTTCGAGACTGGTCTTGCTGTTTTATTGAAGCTGGGTTAACGTCAGATGAAACAGCTGAATTAGAAGGACTACTCTACTCTTCTTTGCCACCAGAAGCTTGTGAGATTTTACTGGCAGCAACATGTACTAGACCAAGTTGTCACCAAAGCTCTAGCATCTCAGCTTCTTCAATTAGCACTGTAAGTAGCCTCACAGATGACTCCATTCCCTAGTATCTGTGTACCAGTTGCAGTTCTCCGAGCCATACTCCACGTTTTGTGTAATATAAGTTCATCATAGCTTTGATATCAGACCACGTGCAACTATATGTGGTATCAAGTAAAACACTCCAAGTTGTTCATAACTAATTTATGCCCTTCAACCAAGCACTGGTTTTTCTATTTGTGTTTTACTCGTGGTCAATTCATTCTCCAGTTCTTCTGACAAAGCCCCACAGTGAAAACAAGCAAAATGCACACAAGAGCAATAAAAAGCGGCTCAGGTTTGAAACCATGGAATGTGGAAGGACATTGCCCAGCACCGGAAAGAATATATTCATACCATTCAAGAGATGGCCAACAAGCACAACACATATGTCTTTCTATTATTTTCAAGTTTTTCAGCTGCTAATCTGTTCCTTAGTTTTCTGTCCAGTGGATGTCGAAGCAATTTTTAATTGGGGGGAAATTGCTCTCTAACCATTGATCAACCAGTCTCTTTCACGCATATGTCAGCAAAAATGCTTGTGAAAAACGAGAAGCAGGTATGTCTGATTGTGTTATATTTTCACATCCCTGTTTGCTCTTTTTAGGCACTTACAGCGGACGGGAAACTCTGATTGAAATCACACGTGAAGCTTCCAAGTTGTATGAGTGGAAGTTTCTTCCTGATGATGAGAAATAAAACATACTTGCAGCTCACAATGAGAAGAAGAAGGCACACCCCACCTCTCATAAAGTCACACCAAACACAATCACATCTGAAATTGATAACACAATGGCCAGTCTTGATCCAGAGGTGAGAATCTCTGGTCACCACAATGTTGCATCTAACTTGCTAACCAACAATAGCTTATTGGCCTTGAAACACGTACGGGATGCAATATTTTATATTGTATTGCTCGCGGTGATGTCAAGGACAATTTTTCACCGGGTGTACATGCTTCTGCAAAAGTTATTGAAGCATGCCTTCACATCTTCAAGAATACACCGGAGGTGATGGCTTTGAAGATTGATGGCTACATCACATCAGGTGTTGGGGGACTCCTCAAGATTTCTGGCGGAAGGAAGAGCACACAGATCAAGTCTGAGATACGTGATCTCATTAAAACAGGGCTCTGTATGTATTCTTGCTCCAGGTTGTACATTTACTGACTACCAACCCAGATGAGATACTAAAGAACAAACGTAGCTACAGCAACAATGACCTCCCGATTATGAACTACGCCAACTACAAGAAGTTGGTCTGCAACCATTGTAACAACCAAGAGTTAGTTACTCTGGTGCACACAGGAACACACTAAAGGTAGTGAATGGGGAGTGGTTACCCCTTAGGCTGCAGAGAGTTTGTTGGTTAACAACAGGAGGACTTGCTGAGGAGTCTCCTGGATCTATTGGGGTATATATACTAATACAGAGTATTTGTACTTATGTACTGTACAGTTGATAAAGTTAGTGGCTGATGATGTCATGGGGTCTAGCCCACATGACCAGCTCCACTGTGTGAGAGAGTTGTATCTAAAATAAGAATAAGGCAACACGGCGCGAGAAAGAGGAGTTTTGAACAAAAGGGGAAGTGCCGCATGGCACTATGTGTGAAAGCTAAAGTGTACAAGGTTAAAGCGGAGAATGAAAAAGAAGGAAAGGTCCAAAAAATTGTGTTATCATAACAACCATGGTGTTGAGCTCATTGGGTGGACCGAGAGGGATGTGGTAAATCCTGGCCAGATACAAACGATGCCAGCCCTGACTCATCTGCTGGATGCACTTCAGAATGTAATATGCTTCTGGAAGGCACTTAGTGAGGCTGAGTGGGACGTAAAAAGAAAAAAAAGACTTGCCGGAACACAGGAGAAAATGCGAGCAACCCGTTCTGACAAAGGCAAGTCAAAGAAGGGCCAGAGCTATAAAAGCAGGGCCATCATGGAATCAGACGAAGATGAAGAAGTGGATAGCGAAATTTGCGGGGCTGCTGAGCACAAAAGGAGCAATGAGGATGCGGATAACACAGCTGAGGGCACCAGGATCAAGGCTAACTTTGCGGACACTACACCCAACCAGCTACCTAATGTACAACCGGCCAATCTTGCTATGGCAGTCACTTCAGTCACTCTCTCGTCATCTGCTACAAACAACAGAAGCCCTACTTGTTCAGTCCACACTGCCATCATCCCACCTTCATCCAGCCTAAGCATTGTTGCACTGACACTGCCAGGGAGTCATGGGTATTTTTTACACTCTGAGTCCCTCCTTGACGATTTTCAAAGTGCTGATCCCACCTTTAATGCCAATCAAATCAGCCTCAATCCTGATCTCAATCCAAACCTCATGTTCTCCCCCATTTACAGAGACATGAACAGATGGGACAGTCCATGGCTGTCACAACCGGGAGGAGGCTCCGAGTCCACGAACGGCATGCAATTGGACCTCACTGATATGCCTACCTTGGCAAACCAAACTCTGAACAGTGCATGCATGCGGCCTTGGGAGATGTAGCATAGTGTAGTGCCGCTTGCATGCACTGTTCTCGCCCAACTCAGGATGTTCAAGTTGTTTCTCGCACTATTTAAGAGCCATTGATGTAGTATCAATAGAAAAATAGGGTGAATTTTGCCTAATTATTGATGGACTGGTGTAGTGTTACATTACATATGCTCTCTATCAACTTAGAAGTCTAAAGTCTCTCCCTATGTAAGACTCGTTGTCGCTGTCTACAACAATGAGCAGAAAAGACCGGCGCAAATCGGAATTCAGGGTGAATGCTTCAGCACCGGATGCCAGTGCAACGCAGTTCATAACCTGTCGAACATCAACAGGCATATCTGTAACAAAGTATACCCAGTTAGTAGATGCTGAGAAGTCAAGACGTACTCTGCAGCATTGTTTGGCACTTCCTTATTCCTTCTGCACTTTCCTCTGCAATCTGGTTCAGCCTCTTCACCCCTGGTTGCAAGCATAAGTTGAGATGGCCATCAGAAGAAGTGGTGGGGAGGCCAGGGATCGATTTGACCTTGCGTGGTACTTTGAGTCTTGATGACCTGAGAGATCCGGAGGGCATTGCGTGATATTCATTGGAGAATGGAGACTGAGGGGACTAAGGAACTCGTTGCTGTGTATAACATCGAGTACAGACTACTGATGGTGGTGATGCAGCAGCAGGTTGTGGCGCAGGGTGCAAACCGGACATTGAAACCGAGCCATAATGGGAGATGTGAGAAAAACCAACAAAGTGCTTGTGGTGAAAGGCGGGCACAGCGCACAGACCCTTTGGATAGCATGCCGAAAGGATCCGCTCGCTGTGCCGGTCGTTCACCGGCAAATTTTCTCCAAGGTGCAGCTGGTGCTTTTGCTGGATCGCGCTTACACGCCATTTGGCGCGACTTAGCCTTATTGCCTCAATAAGGCAATCTGACTAATGAGTCTCACTGTTGATGTCGGATAGGTGGTCTCAGCGGTGTTCATCATCCATTTTGGCGTGATTGGCCTCTTGCAGACCTGAGTAAATTTCTTGTTCCTGAAATTCTACATACATGTCATAAGTTCTTTTTGATCATGTCTTGCTGTAGTGTAAAGAAGCCATTGGAAGAGATGAGCTCGATGCACGTTACAGAAGCCTGCATGCAAGAGTGGGTTTCAGGCATTTCGGGAACAGTATCTTGTATGTCAAACAAATGACAGGACGCAAACATCGCGAAATACAGAGAACAATTATTGTAACGTCAGCAGGCACGGTTACCCCTTCTTTCTTGCAAGCTATACATGCTCTTGTTGACTTCATCTATCAAGCTCAATCCCCTATGCATACTCCGTCATCTGTGAAGGCTATAGTGGCTTCCTTGTCTGAATTCCACAAGAACAAACAAGCAATCCTAGACGCTGAAGCTCGTTGAGGTGCCTCTACGACCATTGAGCATTTTAATATCCCTAAACTGGAGCTATTGCAGCATTTTGCTTGAGCAATTCAGAATATGGGGGCTGTTATCCAGTTTACAGCTAACATCACCGAACATCTTTTAATCACACATAGTAAACATCCATTTAGTGGTACTAATGGCCGCCTATTTTTTGAGATACAATGTGTTTGCATCCTTGACCACTTAGAAAAAGCGCGAATGTTTCACTTATACGCAATCCTCCGACACCAAAATATCTCCCTCATAAATTATCTTGTTTCCAAAGAAAGCTCTGTCTTAGCTGAAGTTGACCCCAAGTTGAGCTGGTTATCCCGTGCTTTACCTGAAGAAAAACACATCTTAAGCATGCAACCCATCCGCAACCACTTTCTGAAAAGAATTCAGTCTACTCATGCCAAGACAGTGTTCCACCTCACAAAATATCCAGATATGGAGTATATTTTAATCCAGAGAGCAGTGGAACTCTTTGCCTTGGAAGACTTACCAGGGCCTATAGCCGATTATGCATGAGGCTTATTAGGTTTCCACAGATATTCCGGGCCTACTGATTGTAGCAATCTGTCATTCACGCATATCCAAGTGTGGTACAAGTGCAAGGTGACAACTACACTCAATGTTTTGTTTGCATATCATCATGCCTCCGCAAACTATTCAAGCGTATCCGCCTTTGCCTAAGATGCCGCTTGGAAACTGTGACACAGTGAGATTGGGCAATCCTGATGGGATCTCCTGTGAGTGTAACTGCATTGAGCTTGCTGGCATTAACAAGAATTACAGTGATTAATTTTTTAATCTAGCTACACTGGTGGTACAAGTATGTATCATATTTCAGGCAATAGAACCACAACGGACTGCCCTCGAGCAACACCTATTGCCAGTACTCATTTATGGGCAAAATTACAGATATGCAGGGATGCAGAGAGATAACAGCGGGGCCGTTATGGAGGAGCCATACATTGATATGTACCTCGTTGAACGTCTCTTTCAAAATTCAACAACATCCACGGGAGAAAGACGTTGTGTAGGCAATGTATACCCTCTAAACTCAGTACACCTACCTGTGGATTTCATACCAGTCTTTGGTGCAGTCATGGATCACGACATCAATTCTAGCAATTTTCTTGAGCTTCCCACTACTTTCTATGTAAATAACTTCTCGGACAAGGAGACATATAATACATTTTTAACAGAATTTGCTGATTGATTTTGTTGTATTCACATTTGTACTAGTATTCACCCCGCCTACCAGTAGTACAATCATTGCTTTGAAATGTGCTTAGCCCTAAGCAAGTTTTTTTGCATTTTACAGATGTAGTCCCCCCCAGCAGACCCTAATAGGAATATCCTGATTGGGAGACCTAATTACTGTGGGAAATGATGTGGCACGACCCATGTCGTCAGTTTTGCTAGTACAGTGATAATTCTCCTGTAACTTCAAGGGGCTACCAAAAAGGGAATGCCTGATGCTGACTTGATTTTTTTACATTTGTTTCATTCTGCGATATATATCAGTGTTTTTCATTAACAAGGTATCATGAAATTTGAACACACCATTTGCTGAAGTGTTGCTAACATGGATATCTATAACAAAGGGGACGGTGGTCCCAAATGCCGCGTGCAAGCCACGTTGCGTTGGTTATTTTGCTTAGTTTTGCTTGCGTGGTTTTTGTGGCAATACAGGAGCAGCAGTACAGTAGTAGTGAACACAGTGAAAATAGTAGCCATATTGAAATTCTCACACTTATAAGGATAGACAGCACAAGTTCACTGACTCCTGACTAAATAAAATTTGATCACTTAACTGTATTATTATTACTCAAAAGATAATGTGGAGCAGCTCAGTCAAGGGCAGTGGAATACTTTTGATATCATCATACAGTCAATTTATCATAATTGGGGAACAACTTGCTTTATTCACAGTGCTGCTGGATGTTGGTTGTGGTCATGGAATTGCAGGAGATGGGACTATTGAGATTCCTGCCAACATCCTTATGCCAGAAAACACCATAGACTCATTAGTTGACATTACCTATCCTGGAATTGCAAATGGAGACAGAGATAACCATTATTTCCTTCACTGCATCATCCTCTCCACAAAAAATGATGCCATTAGTAACCTTGATTCAGCAATGGGAATTCTGCCCTGGAGAAGAGTTAGTAGCTCTGTCAATTGATAAAGTGGTTAGAGAGTGGCATAAACATTATCCTGCAGAGTTCTTGAACTCCTTGCAAGTATCTGGCCTTTCTGAAGTGCACCTCAAACTTAAAAGCTGGATGTCTGCTTATGCTCCTCTGCAATACTCATCCCCTAAATAGACTCTGTAATGGAACACACATAATTTTAATAGAGATGAAGAGAAGAGTATTGAAGTGCGGTGTCTTGGGAGGAAAACATGCAGGGAAGATAGCTTTTATTCCACGCCTCACATTGGAACCTCCATCAGAAGAATTGCCCATCAAGCTATCACATTGTCAATTCCCTGTCCATGTTGCCTTTGCCATGACCATTAACAAGTCTCAAGGGCAATCAATGACACAGGTTGGGCTGGATTTATGTGTCCCAGTGTTTTCACATGGGCAACTTTACATTGCATTGTCGCACTGCACTTCAGGACAGAAAATAAAAGTGCTATTTCCACATGGTTTAAATGACAGATGTACCATCAATGTGGTATATCCCAAAATTCTGACTGGCTTTATCTGTGACTAGCAAGTAGACTTTTCCCCAATTCTCAACCTTTTGACTAAAGTGTTTTGTTCTCAGATCATATTATCATCCTTTACCATTTCTGGAGTCTCTTTTTTTATTTCTCATCAATCTATCAATGTAATACCACAGAGTTTTTATGTTACAATATATGTTGATGTCTGTAAAGATTCAATGAACCATCTGCTTGAGTTCAGTATACTGTGCACAAGTTTAGGGCAGGCTTATAAGGACATTCAACAACAGAACAGCAAACATGCATCATAGGATTCAAAGACCTAACATACATTACAGGCAGCATAAGTTCACTGACTTAACATTTTGATTACTAAACAGTATTAGTATTATCATTTATTATACATTGCACCAGTGGCAGAGCCATGGGCTGGACCTTGTGATTATAACTCCACTGAATTGTGCTGAGTGTGCCGCCGCGTGCCTCAATTGCAATTATCAACCTTGGGCAATGTTAGTTTTGGTGATTTTGCACCTAGTTGTGCTATCTATTTTCCCTTCTTTCTAAATCACTTCCCTCTTTATTCTTTTTGCTCTATTGTTCAGTATTCACTGAGCATTCTATAATTTCACCTTTGTGGCTGATTTGTTTACCTTTGTTTACAAAACTTCGGACTAGTATTGCAGAGTCTAGTATTCCTATTCTTTAGTTACTCATACTGGACTCTAGATACTGTACACATTCTGTACTCTCTGATAATAAAGTTACTCATACTGGACTCTAGTTCTGTCCCTGTTAGCTCTCAGCAAGTGGTTAGACACTTCCCAGAAGTTCTCAATTGGACAGGCAACCCTTGAGCTTGCTGTTTGTGTTGATCACATCCCTTGTGGATTCACATCAAATGGGGGGAAAAATACTCCACATGATGACACCTCTTCCCTGCCACCGTTATCACAGACTTCTGCCTTAAGAGAGCTGGCTCTCCTGATTCAACAACCACCAAGATCCAACCCACCATAACTTTTCACCACGGCGACAACTACATGCCCTCTGAATTCAAAAACACACCTCCAGACCTCCTAGAGGAATACACCAGGACTCTTCCACCTTACTTCTGAGGTGCAGTGTAGAAGGTAAAACAGGACAGAATTGTTGGCAAAATAATTTGAAAGACCTCAATGCAGGCCTTAGGTCGTTGTAAGAGGGTCAGCCCTGCTGCCAATACTAATAGCGACCACCATGACTCAGACACTGAAAACATCAACCCGAATGAGCCCGTTGTCAAGAAGTGTTGTCTTACCTGTACCCACATTGACAAATCATCACACCAAACAGCAACAGGAGATTATTGCTCAGATGAAGGAGACAAAAAAAACTTTTGAGAGGGTATCAGAGAGCTATCTTGATATTCTTGTGAATGTTGTTGCGAACTAATTACATTTGCTGCTGATCACAAGTACTCTTTACCATACTATAAAATCAGTGATAAAAGTATTTGCAAAGCTCTGGGTGTTGACAATTGAAGTGGACAAAGACCTGGTTGAAGCAAAAACAATTGATTGCATTGGTGAACAAAACACTTGTTCAGTAGTAGTGTCCAACTGGAGACCTGTAAACATGCATCTTCCAACCAGCATTCAAGAACAGCAAGTGTTTGCAACAATATCGAACCCATGCTTGACTTCAATCCTCACTTGGCCCATGACTGCGTTCCATGCCTTTTCCTCTTTGGTGCGGTTGCTGGGTCCCGCAAAAGGGCTGACAATTTGGTTGCTGATTCCATAGGCTGCATCGCCAAAAATTTGGGGGTGTCTGTGCTCCACTGGGTATTTTCATCAGTCCCATCTTGTACAGCATGCTCAGTGCACTTCTCAAGCAGCCAACTTTTGTTTAGCAGGAAGGAATCATTCCTCCGCCCCTCTATTGGTTCATACAGGTGCCCAAACATCCCGTTTAGTAGCATAAGTGCCTGAAACTTGAACAAGTGATATTTCTTATGGCCGTTGTAGGCCTGTTGTTGGAAAAGTGTGGACAGCATATCCGTCAAATAGTGTAGTCTAGGAACCCCCAAATGCCCAACAGAGGTGCACCTGCTTCATGGACTGCACAAGCATACTTCTCAAGGTTTGGAGGGGAAAGCAGATGTGTGTGGCCAAATTCAAGGATATGGTTCCAGTTTTTGTTGACATACATTGCAACAAAGTTGATAATCTCAGAAATGGATGACTGCAAGCAATTAAATTTCATGCAGAGGTTGTACATGTCACCGGCAGAACAGAAATGTGCGCATGTCAAGCAAAGCGCTTCAATTGCCGAAAAAGTATACCGTCCAGGTGTTGTGATCTCATCTGGTAGCCCAATGGCTTCGACCAAATCAAAGAGCTCATCAGCAGTCATCCTGTGGGTATTTTCTTGCAGTTAGTCTTGTAGCTCTTGCCGAGTTCTTTGTGACCCGGAGAGAGCTCACCTGAACTGACATAGACACTCCTTGTCCTCCAGGGATTGGAGCCCACTCTTCTATTATTCTGTTTCCTCCTTGAGCTTGGCGGGGAGGAAGTCTAGTCGCACATCAGAAACTCTCAGATTCAAGTACAAATGTGCTGACAAGCTGGGCGCTATTGTCAATGGTGGACAAGATTGGGGCAATGAGCTGACGGGAAATGAATTGGTAGTGTCGGGAGAGTAGTGGTAGGTGCACCGTAGCAATCTTATGTCTATCAGGCATGGTGGTGGGCTGTTGTGATCTATTGGGGTATTTATACTACTACAAGCTATTTGTACATGTGTACTATATAGTTGATGGAAGCAGTGACTGATTATGTCATAGGACATAGCCCATGTGACTAGCTCTACTATGTGAGAGAATTGTATCTAAAATAAAGGGAAGCAGTGTAGCGCAAGAAAGTGGAGTTTGAACAAAAGGAAAGTGCCACATGGCATGGTGTGTGAAAATTGGGAGAGAAAGTTAAAGTGGAGAATAAAAGTTAAAAGTCCAAAATTTGTGATTGCAACACTACCCCCTCCTAAGGCTTGACTTCCAGGTGAGACCAAGTACCAGAGGTAGTAGTTATATGGGTATTGGTTGAAAAAGGGAATTAAAAAGATTCAAATCCATGCCTCTAAGCTTCCTAGGAGCTGAAGGATTCTTTAGAATAGAAGTTGTGAACAGCATTGCGGAAGCTGTCCAGATGGGCTTCTGGTTCCCATGTTCTATCCTTGTCTCCATAACCCTTCCAGAGGACCACAAATTCTAGTTTTCCACCCTTCAAGTGTCCATCCACCACCTGTTTGACTTTGAATTCTTCTTCACCTTCCTGGGTGACTACTACCAGTCTGTGTTACAATACCCAATTTTTGGACCTTTAAGTTTCATTCTCCACTTTAACTTTCTTTCATAGTTTTCACACACTGTGCCATGCGGCACTTTCCATTCTGTTCAAACTCCACTTTCTCGTGCTGCACTGCTTTTCTTTATTCTTAGCTACAAGTCTCTCACACAGTGGAGCTGGTTACACGGGCTGCACCCTATGACATCATTAGCCACTGCCTTCATCATCTGTATAGTATACATATACAAATAGTCTGTAGTAGTATAAATACCCCAATAGATCAAGGAGACTCCTCAGCAAGTCCTCATGTTGTTTACCCATAACAAACTCAGTCCTATCTCAAAGGGTAACCACTCCCACTCACTTGTCTGAGTTGTACACCAGGGTATATGTATTAAGAACAAAGCTTGAAGGAAGTGTCTAGCCACTTGCTAAGAGCAATCAGGGACTGGAACTAGAGTCCAATGTGAGTAACTAAATTATTAGAGAGTATGACAGGTATACAGTACCTAGAGTCCAATGTGAGTAACTAGAGAATAGGAAGCATTGGACTCTGCAGTACTGTCCGAAGTTTTGTAAACAAAGGTAAACAAAGCAGCCACAAAGGCGAAATAATAGAGAACACAATTAATAGTGAATGATAGAAGAATAGATAGAGAAAGGAATGAAAATATATAGGTAGCACAAAGGTGCAGAATCACCAAAACTAACAATATGAACTCTTGCCTGTCCAGGCAGAGTGGCTCTTTGTAGGGTTTCACACAACTAATATTGACTGTGGGTACTACCCTCATTTGTTTTGGGAGTTCCAGCTCCACAGTATTGGGCTTGACTTTCTTAATCCGGTAAGGTCCAATCCACTTTTTGGTCAGTTTTCTAGACTGCTGGTCTTTTAATCTTAAGTGGTTGGTATCTAACCAAACCAGGCTGCTGACCTTGTAGTTAGGGGCCTTAGAGCGTCTATGCTCTGCCCTGTTTTTCATCTGCTCTGCAGTTTTGAATAGCACCTCACACATTTTGGCATTTTGTCTAAGACAGACTTCATGTCCTTGGCCATGTTCTCAGCAGTCTTGTTTATGCTTTTGCCAGGTTCTACACCCATCCTGGGGAGGTACAACCTTGTAACCTTGAATGGTGCCTTCCCTGTAGCCACATTCACAAAACACCCTCCTCCTGATATGGACAAATACCCTTCAGATCAGATTTTAATCTTGATTGAGTGTCAGGACAGCTTGCCTGGTCATCATTTACGCCTAGTTCAACATCCAGACATAATATTAGGCTTTATGTTAGTCTTGTGGTGTAGTCGTTGTAGCTGTAGCTCTATAGAATTTATAATACTTATAATGTATCTATACATGCAGGTCTGTTAGAAGGTGTCACCTTTCACTTTCACATCCATGCTCCAAAACCATGGCAATGCAGTGTTGCGGAGTCCAGTTGCATTGAGATTCATGAGCTAGGTACTTGCCTTGAGGTGGTCTGGTTTGAGCTCTTGATATTTTTGTAATATTTCTGCCCGGCACCCCAGAGATATAATTGCATGCTGGGCTCTCTTATATATGGCTGAGTGGACTTTGACATTGGCTTCCACACGGGTAATCTCTGCCCAAGCCCTCACCTTTGTCCTGAACAGAAAAAAATTTTGACCCAGTAGGATACGTATCTGATGCAAGGTGTCATTGGCCTGACTTTCTTGGAGTATAAGCTCCTGACTTACTAGATGATGTAGGCCTTTAATTTTGCAAGTGCTTTTTCCTAAGTTAGAGGGTAACACCAATTTTCTCCTCCCAATAGGCTCATCATTGCCATTGAAGGAACCCGGGAGGTCAAACAGATTTATTTCTTCTGCATTGTTGTCTTTGTCAAAGTTTGGCCACCCCGGGACCTTCTCAAGAAACTCGGCAACATTGATATTACCTAGATACCTTTCAACCTTGAGGTTGAGAGCATCTACGGGAGAGCAAGTGTTGACACCTTTCCTATAACTCCAGTTTTTCTGCGGTTGTGCCCTTTTGTTGATTTGTTTTACATGAATTTGCAGCTATATCCTGTTAGGTAGAGTTAATAACTATTCAAAAAAGTATATATTCCTGGGATCCTGGGGCCCGGGGACTTACTGAATCTCTTCCAACTTCAGACCCACTGCTAACCAAGCAGCGGTTCCTCAAACCACTCCATTTCTTGTTTCCAGTTGTGATAAATGCAGCTGGATTTCTGCTTTGCTGGGTAATTTTGCCAAAAAGACTTCATATATATCCATGGCATATTGTGTATGCAGCCGGTTTTGCTATGCCTTTTTTCCCTGGGCAATCCAGGCCTCTGTGTCCTTGGAGTCTGCAGTGAAATTGATGTTTTTGAATGCAAGCTTGCTTGATGGCAAGCCTTATTGAACCTTTTTGAACTTCTTGCAAAGTGCCAGGACTAGGCATGCACTTAGTCATGAATATGGGTGAGTTATTGAAGCCCGGGACCTACCCATTTGTATAGGCTTCTTCCAATTGGAATCACTCATGTGATCATCCAATATTTCTTGCCTATATGACTTGCTCATAACCCAGGTGCTTCCAGAGACTTCATTGAGGGGAGCCCAAAGTGTTTCTAATATCTCACCATCAACCTGCCCAGCCCTGGGGATGAAGTTAGGGGTGTATCTTGGGAAGCAGATGATGTCCATGAATATGATATAATCAATGCCCTTGTACATGGATACACCACTGGGGACCTGAAGATAAGGACTTTCAAGAACCCTCTTTGAGTAGTGTTTACCGTATTGGCACATTATATTGTAGAGAACTATAACGAAGTCGGTCCTGGCCAATGAAGACAAGATCTGACACAGGGAATAGTTCATGTTCATTTGGCTATGAAGAGTGATCAATTCCCATTATCACAGACTTGTGGGCAACTCACTGTTCACCTTTCTGAAAATCCACTATGGCACCCGGGCAAAATACTCCATGCTGGGTGCAGGCAGTAGCACCAATTCCGGTAGCATTGAGGTGCTTCCAGTCCTTGTTTGCCAGGTTTACAGCTCTGTGGTAATTACAAGTAGACCCCACTTTATTTTCTTTGGCGATTTTAAGGTGCTCCATGTATGGTTGGTTTGCCGTCAAAAATGCTGTGTCATTGGCCAATGGGATATCATCATTGGGGTTCTTTGACTTCATGCGCTCTGCGTTCAAGTTCCCATCCATAACAAAAGCCCTCGAGTGATACTGCCTGAGGGGGTCCTGCTTCCAATCAAGCAGGACATTGATACCCGGTTGAGGGCAGGCTATGCAGAACAATGCTAGAGACCCTGGGGAAGGGTGACAGCCAGGTTGGTGTGCAAATCCATGCCAACGCATATATTTCAAATGTCTCCACTGCCATAACACCCTCATGAACTCCTGATATCTATTTTAGAGGGGGAGCATATCATTGAGGTACCCGGGAAGTCTAGAACTGAGGGACGCACTGGGACCTTGTGCAGTAATGCACTGTTTGTCACCCACTATATCTTGGAATAGAAATTCATTGCAGAAGTTTTACATTCCTTGTTATCAAATAAGAAGTCATCAAGCAAAGAAAAGGTGAACACACTGTTTGAGGCTTCTTCTGACTTGCCTGATATAACCCAAGAACTGAATGTCCAAGCGGGCAGCATTGGGACAGGGTCAGCTACACCATTTCACGGGCAAATGATGCACACCAGATTTGTCTACCAGAAGCATCATTGTGTTGCCATTGATGTCAGTGGAGCCAGTCCTTTTGGGCATATCACCTATTGTGATTACTTCTTCTTCTTCTAATAATCCTCCTTCCTCATTGTCTGATGGGGCACCTGGAAAATTGTCCCTGGTACCGTCCACCTGGGAATCACCCTCCAGTGAGTTGTCCTCTGCTAGACTGTGGTTGTCATCACATCCCAGGCATGGTTTCCCGGTGTGGCCCAGATGAATTTCCAAGCCGGCTCTATAAAGCCAAGAAGGTTAGAAATGTGTGCCCACCCATTGCTCAACTCTATGAAATGGTAACCTCTGGTGAGCATCCCTGCAGCATGACATGCAATACTCTGGATTCCACAAACATTCTGTACATTGCCAAGTTCCTTCTCTCACTAAACAAAGGCTACAAGTCTGTCCTGGGGACCGCCCCTCTTCCTGCATGAGGATTTAAAGATACTCTAAACAATGATTCAGCCATTATCTCATGTAATCATTTTGTGACTAAACCAATATCAGACAAATAATGGTGGATGTGCTTACCTAGTGGACTTGCCTTCCTTGGAGGTATAACCAATGGCTCAAGGATAGGATAGTCAGTGTCTTGGATGGGGAACATATCATGTTTATGAGGAGTTTGATGGGGTGTTGACAAAGTTGATCAGGCTATGTGGTCTTTCACACTTATTTGTTTTGTACGCACACCTTTGCTTGTTTTAAACTCCTTTCAATCTACTCTTTGTAACACTGGAGCCAAACATTGGGAGGAGCTGCGGCCCATGCTAAATAATTCTGCAGAGAAGAGATCATGTTGTTAAACCAGACACCAGTTTGAAAATGCTCATACAAGATATTTATGATAAAAGGCAGTGATTGATATGGAGCCTGAACCAAGTGCTCAACTTAGTGAAGAAAAAAGAGGTGAAAAAGAGGATGTGGGACCTCTACAGAGTCAAGCCGGGGCATTCAGGTTATGGTAAACTGCAGAGTGTCCTGAAGGCGATGTTGACTTAGCTCAGCAAGGAGGAGCTAGCTGAACTCACAGAGAAGTGTGAGGAGTGATATATTGATGGGCCATCAGAGGAAGTGAGACAAAAGTGAGTATGATGTCCTTTACTCACCCGGGACAAATAGTGACTCAAGATAACCAGAGCTGCTGAAATTAAGGGTAGGAAAGTAAAGAAGGACTTCCAGATGCAAGCAACCCAGGATCTGGGAATGTTGAGTTTTGTGCTCACCGCCCATAGAGATACAAATGGAACCATTTGCGTGTTCTTGCCTTGTAAGTAGTCTATGGACCCCAGGTCTCAAACTAGGTGTGTGGTTACTAAAATGGATCACTTTAATTGCAGCCATGAGCAAAATGACAAAGCCGGGTTTGAGCTTTTTAGCAAGGTACAACCCAACTAGCAAAATGTAAAGATATGGGAGGCTTGGGGCAAGTATGCATAAAATCAGCTTGGTAAGTTTCTAGCTTAATTATTAAACATCACAGAGTACTGAACTATATGTAGCTGATGTAGATGGGTCTGTGCCAAAGGAGAACCTACCAAGCAAGCAGCCAAAAAAGATCAAGCTTCTATTTGACAATAATGGATATCCCATCCTTGCAGATGAGGATCCGCCTTCCCTGGCAACCTTTTCAGACCTACGGATTATCATCAGGTCTTTCCTGACAACGCATTACCAGATTTCCACTGGAAATACAAAGGCTTCAATACCTTGGACCAGCCTTGCGGAGCGCCCGGGCTACTATATTGACTTGTTAAAGGGGTATATACCCTCGGGGTACAAGTTCCAGGAACCATCACGTATGGCAAAAGAGGAGACCCAGGCTCTGTCAGACCACATCAGGAAAAATCTAGCTGCCTTTTATAGCTATCATAGCCACCATAGTACTATATAGGGAAAATAGTAGCTATAGTACACCTAGACAAGTCCCTATTATATAGCGCTATATAGCAGCACTATTTTGAAAATTTGCTATGGAAGTTATGATAGCACTTTTGTAATATATGTACTATACCTCTACTATAACTGCTACCATAGAACATAAGAGCTATCACTACCATGAAATATTATTCCAGAGCATTTATACTATTTTTACTTGTATTATAATCAGAGGTCATATTCAGTAAAATCAACATATATTTCTAATACGGTTACATGACACATGTAATGATAAACTATCCTAACAAAGTTGGAACCATACCTTTAAATCAGATACTGTAAGTTATTCATACTGTGTACAATACACTCAGTAGTGTTATATAAATGCTACCATGTGATTACTAACCACAATTTCATGAATGGCTTGTGAGCTTTGCTTGCTAGCTCTTCAAGTCTGTGCAAGTATTTCAATAACCCAATAAGTGACTACCACCAAGTATTAGATAGTTGAACTTACCTCTGCCTATTCACCAACAACTCAGAAAAAATTAAAGTGGTTATACATCTACCAATTAATCACTGTAATGACCAAAGACATCAGTGGGGATAGCTAGGACTGATGAGTCCCATATATAAGAATTCTGGACACAAACTTTACCTGAAGGTAGACTTGTGATGTGGTGGTTGAATATGGTGGGGGCATTTATAGTGCTTATGCCAATGTGGATGGTGGCTGAGAATAAACAGAGCTTGTATTGACAGTGACACTGTCTATTTTCACACACTCAATTATAGCATTCAAACTCAACTGCTGGAAAATTCACTTTGGTGCCACATATTCAAACTCCGCTTAAATCCATTCTTGTGTGTCAAGCAAGGCACTTCAACTTTGATGTGATGTCAGTGGTGTTCTCCAGTATCTGTACAATTAAATATTTGTGATAGATTTTTATGAAACCATGAGGCTAATTTACCTGCATAACAAACCATTGTATGAATAATAAGAGCATTCTCATTACCATAAGAAGAATATCTCTTACAAAACAATAAGCTATTATAGTTCCTATAGCTGCTATTGCACATATAGCATCTATTGTAGCAGTGCGTGGTTGCTGAAATATAAAGACAATATTTAGGACATATGTAATGGACCTTCATTACATAAATAAGCAGGCTAATATATATGCCAAACCATTTAGTGAGTAATAATGGTGTTTTTATCACAATCAGAACAAAGTTCCCATAGCTAAAAATAAGCCGTTAAAGCTACTATACCTGCTATAGCTACCATAGCAGTTACAATATCTGTTATAGAAAAATTTTGACAATTATAGTGATGCTATAGCTGTCATAGAAGCCATAGAAGCCATAGAAGCCATAGAAGCCATAAAAACACGCTTGGCCATATAGCAAAATGGTTTTTCCTGATGATCTTCTCTCTGTATCAACTAATTCTGCCTCCTGCGAGAGGTCATTTAGTGCCTTTGGCTTCATTCTCACTCAAATTCACTCTTGTATGGGTCTGAAGCCAATGACAGACCTTGTTGAGCATTGTCTTCACCTACAAGACGAGCATGTCAGACTTGGCATTGTCAAACAGAACCTTTGAAAGCAAAAAATTGTTTCTTTACCAAATCCATCTCAGCAGACAACAGGCCCATCTACCACCACTGAGAATACACCAGCACCATCTTCTGCTGAATTTGTGGCCACCCAATTGCAGTCAGAAACTAACAGTCAGCCTGAAAATTCAATGCAAGATATCATTTCAGGATTTTGAGAATATTTGTCAGCTGATGAAGATGTTGGCATATTATATACATTACAATAGATTCTTTATTCTTGCAGTCACTTTCATTCAACTATTCCGACATAGATTACATAAGTTTCCTAACTAGGATACAAAAAAGTGCACCCATCCTACCTTAGACACCTCAGTCATTTACCAGAAAGACTGAGGTACAGTAAACATTATTATTGCAGTTAAACTCACACTTACACATTCCTTTAGAGTCTTTTACTTTACAGTTCTTGTCATCACATCAGAAGATGAAGAGCCAATTTCATTTGGTGAGGTACATATACCAATTGGCTCACTCTTTAATTTTGAAAGCACAACATGGATAGAAGTGGAGGAAAGGTTCTCGCTTCAAGCCTTGAATGAGGAACCAGAGCTGTATGATCCAGTGAGTCTCAATGCTCCTGGTGAAGCTGACTTGGATGGAGTTTTAGATATGGATGTTTTTGAGGAGGCAGTTCTTGTGTCCTAAATGCATGTAATATAATATGATACTAGCTACACATTGACTCTATACACAAGACTTGTCTTTTTGTTGTTCTATATCTGCTTCTGTACATTTGTTGACCTTCACCACCGCAGTATCATGATGCATTGTGTAACAACCAAGAGTTAGTTACTCTGGCACACAACTAGAACCAACTATAGAGATAATGATGAGGGAGTGGTTACCCCTTAGGTTTCAACAAGTGAGTTGTGAGGATACAACAGGAGGACTTGCTGAGGAGTCTCCTCGATCTATTGGGGTATATATACTACTACAGGTTTGTTTGTACATATATACTATACAGTTGATGAAGGCAGTGGCTGATGATGTTGTGGGCACAGCCTGTGTGACCAGCTCCACTGCGTAAGATACTTGTAGCTAAAATCTATAACAAAGGGGACGGTAGTCCCAAATGCCACATGCGAGCCATGTTGTGTTGGTTATTTCGCTTAGTTTTGCTTGTGTGGTTTTTGTGGCAACACAGGAGCAGCAGTACAGTAGTAGTGAACGCAGTGAAAATCGTAGCCACATTGAAATTCTCACGTTTATAAGGACAGACAGCACAAGTTCACTGACTTCTGACTAAATAAAATTTAATCGCTTAACTGTATTATTATTACTCAAAAGATAGTATGGAGTAGCTCAGTTAAGAGCAACAGAATGCTTTTGATACCATCATACAGTCAATCTATCATAATTGGGGAATAACTTGCTTTATTCACAATGCTGAAGGTAAGGGAAAAACATATCTCTGTAATACAATTGCCGCTGCTGCTTGAGCAAGAGATAATCATAATGTTGCTTTATGTGTAGCATCCTCTGAGATTGGATCCCTGCTCTTGGAGGGTGGCTGCACAGCTTATTCACACTTTGGAATCCCTGTTCTTGTACATGAAACATCCACATGTAGGATTCCAAAAAACTCTGACCTCCATGAGGTATTGAGACGTACCGGAGTTGTAGTCTGGGATGAAGCACCAATGCAACACCATCATGGGATTGAAGCATTGAATTGTACATTGTGGGACATTTTGGATAATCAGCTTCCATTTGGAGGCATTATAATGGTCTTTGGAGGGGACTTCCACCAAACAACACCTGTTGTTTCAAGAGGGTCAAGGTAACACATTATTTCTGCCTCTCTTAGAAAGTCACGACTGTGGACAAATATCCATGTCTGCTATCTCACACAGAACATGTGCCTGGACTGTACTCCAGAAAGTGAAGCCTTTGCTAGCTGGATATTGGTGGTGGTTGTGGAATTGCAGGAGATGGAACTATTGAGCTTCCCGCCAACATCCTTATGCCAGAAAACACCATAGACTCATTAGTTGACACTACCTATCCTGGAATTGCAAATGGAGACCAAAGTGACTATTATTTCCTCCACTGCACCATCCTCTCCATAAAAAATGATGTCGTTAGCAACCTTAATTCAGCAATGCTCACAATATTCCCTGGAGAAGAGTTAGTAGCTTGGTCAATTGATAAAGTGGTTGGAGAGGGGCATGAACATTATCTCGTGGAATTATTGAACTCCTTGCAAGTATCTGGCCTTCCTGAAGTGCACCTCAAACTTAAAGCTGGATATCTGCTTATACTCCTCCACAATATTGATCCCCTAAATGGACTCTGTATCGGAACACGCATGATTTTGATAGAGATGAAGAGAAGAGTATTGAAGTGCCATGTCTTGGGAGGAAAACATGCAGGGAAGATAGCTTTTATTCCATGCCTCACATTGGAACCTCCATCAGAAGAATTGCCCATCAAGCTATCACATTGTCAATTCCCTGTCCGTGTTACCTTTGCCATGACCATCAACAAGTCTCAAGGTCAATCAGTGGCGCAGGTTGGGCTGGATTTACGTGTTTTCACATAGGCAACTTTATGTTACATTATCTTGCTGCACTTCAGTAGAGAGAATAAAAATGCTATTTCCACGTGGTTTAAATGACAGATGTACCATCAATGTGGTATATCCCAAAATTCTGACTGGCTTTATCTGTGACTGGCAAGTAGACTTTTCCCCAATTCTCAACCTTTTGACTAAAGTGTTTTGTTCTCAGATCATATTATCATCCTTTACCATTTCTGGAGTCTCTTTTTTTATTTCTCATCAATCTATCAATGTAATACCACAGAGTTTTTATGTTACAATATATGTTGATGTCTGTAAATATTCAATGAACCATCTGCTTGAGTTCAGTATACTGTGCACAAGTTTAGGGCAGGCTTATAAGGTCATTCAATGACAGAACAGCATGTCAAACATGCATCATAGGATTCAAAGACTTAGCATACATTACAGACAGCATAAGTTCACTGACGTTTTGATCACTTAACAGTATTATTATTATTATTTATCATATAGCAAAACTATTGCACCAGTGGCAGAGCCACAGGACCTCGTATGAAGGAAGGCAGCGCAGCACAAGAAAGAGGAGTTTGAACAAAAAGGAAAGTGCCGCATGGCACAGGGTGTGAAAACTACAGTATAACGTTAAAGAGGAGAATGAAAATTAAAGGTCCGAAAATTGTGTATTGTAACACATTGACTCATCCCCTTACAGGAGCACTTTGGATTCACTCAGGATATATCAGTGCCTTCAGTGACACGTGCCATGCAAAGTCAACACAGCGAAGCCTAGTTACTGCTGGCACAAAGGTGCCAGCAGCAGAGCCCATGGCTTGTCCTTCCCTGATGAGGCCTATCTTACTTACTTTACAATCCTGAATGTGTGTAACATGGGTGACATAGCATGAGAAATATTCTTTGCCTCTCAGCTTGTTCAACACAAGTGTGATTGCAAGCAGCTCTCGTTTTGAAACGGAGTCTAATGAACGGGCCCTTGGTAAGGAATTTCGGTGCCCTAGCGAGATAAAGGGGAGCAATCATATATATTGAGTGCAGCTGAGTGAAAAAAAGTTAGGGCCCATCCGGCAGCCACCGTTTTGAAACATTGCCCGCCATGAAAGTCTCATTTCATTTGAAAACGGTGCCCTTTCAAAATGGGCCCGTTTCAGAACGAGCTGACGTGTTCGGCGACACAGTTCGTTTTGAAAAGAGCTTGTCACACTACTGAGTACTGATAAGATAAGATAGGCCTTTGATGCCATCATGTGACCATGTGATGAAAAGTGTTACGCTTGGCGGCAAACAAAGTTGCTATCTCTTCTCACTTGATATGAATTATTTAGGATTTTTTGTTTGAGAGAAAAGCTGAACCTCAGTAAATACAATTACAATACTGTAAGAAGAACTAAGGAAAATGGTGCCATGTAAGACGAGATAGATTTTTTGTGGCAAAGATGATAAAAATTCAAGTTGGTGATTTGCCTCGTCACGCCAGTGGTCACAAGCCAAGTCATGTCATGTCGTGGCGTCGGTTGTGGATGACGCCTATCTTACTTAATCCACAATCCTGAAATGCGTGTAACATAGTGTGACATAGCGTGAGAAATATTCTTTGCGCTGAGAGTTGTTCAAAGCGAGCGCGTTTGCAAACGGCTCTCGTTTTGAAACGGAGGCTGCCGAACGGGCCCTAAGTTATGCAACCAAGGTTTTCGGAAAGCTTTGTAGTGGCGTTTGAGCGCGCCATTGCATGAAATTTGGAGTCGGAATGGGAAGAGCCGAAAGTGATTTCAAATTCCCCAGGCTTACTTGTAAAACGTTCCTAAGAATTGAACAACCTATAAAAACAAGATGGGCATGAAATATCGTCGGTATCTCGCTGGGGAACGGGTTTATGGTTGTGCAACTTGTAGGACTCACTTAGCCACTATACATTCAATGATATCTCGAGTAAGTTTTCTGCAATTTCTTGACGTTGGAATAGCCTATATTCATGCATTCGAAGGCCTTTAACGGACAGCATGGCCGGGCGTATCTTTTCGATGGAGTGTTAACATCCTTATTTTCATTGGACTGTGAATTTTATGACTGATGTCGCTTTGAACAGAGTAAATATTGTCGAAGGGGAGCCAAATGACCGGCAAATGACCACGGGCAAACATACCGTTCGGGACATTTATTGCGTAAAGTGTGGTGCAACGCTTGGATGGAAATACGTATGATTCTTGTCGCTGTTCCATAGATTTCACCACGTTGAGAATCAGAACAGGATCGCGCATACGAAGGATCGCAGAAATACAAAGAAGGGAAATTTATCCTCGAGCGTAACCTTCTCGTCGACGTTCAATGACTTGGACATCCGTGATGTCATTGGCGGCGGGATCCAGAAGTCTTTGTTCATGTTGCATCACAACGTCCCACATATGATACATTATAAGCTATGTGACATCGCGGTGTTTTATTCTGTTTGTTTGGGATACCACCAGCGCAACAAATTTTATGATTATTCAGTTCTTGCCACTAATCTTGAAGCCTGATTCTCGCAGGTTCTGGGTTTATTCAAAGTGTTCTTCCATTATGAGCCTACACGTCCAAAGGATCCACTGCACCCCACGTTTGAAGAAATTGAGCGTCAGACACTCCGCCATGCTATAGTATGTGCGTTGTACACCTTATAGGCTGACTTTCGACCCACAGCTAAAGGTTGCTTACACTACAGGCCTGTAAAAGATAAAGTAGAGAATCTTACAGTATGAGCACGGTCAAGCTTAATGTTCCCTTGCAAGATAGACTGGTGTTCAACTATAATTGATATTGTGAATAACGTAAGGTAAAGAAGCTGCGCAAATGAATTATCCCCAATCCAAAGCGAGACACCAACTCTCCACAACGCTGGGAAGAGGATCCCGCTCTCTCCCTGCTCAACCACCGAAAAGCCATCCCACACACCCTCAAATTCATAAAAGCCACACACACAGGGGGTAACATGCAACCATGAAAAACATATGGCCCTAATTTGTTATTTTTCTCACAATAAAATTCTATCTATAGTATTAAGTCATTTTAATTGTTTCCAATATGTTGCTACATTTATTTTACTGAGAAAATAGTGACAAAAAAGCAAGTAAATCCAGGGTTTATCTCCTGATAACAATGTAAATCTTCTTTTTTCTTCACAATGTTTCTAGCATTTTTTCTGGGAAATAAAGCTGTTCATAGTATCATTGTTTCATATGTAAAAAAACTTCAAAGATGCAAGAAACATTATATATACAAATATCATATCTACACAAGATAGAAGGTGATAAAATTGAGAGGAATATTGCAGACAATGTGTGTATAAAAAGAAGAAAAAGTATGACTACTTTTGGAATGTGGCAGTAATGTTTATTGGGTCCTCAAGTTGATAAAATTCAAAACAATTTTGCAAGGTAAAATACAAATTGATTCCAATATAACATTATTAGATAAACAGATCTACATTTGACCCTACTTTGTCTCATTACATTTCATTTTAAATTGATAATGTAATAGTTTTTTTTTCTGGCTATAAATTCAAAATTTTGGGTGAAGAAACATTGTGAAGAAAAAAGAAGCTTTACATTGTTATCAGGAGATAAACCCTGAATTTACTTGCTTTTTTGTCACTATTTTCTCAGTAAAATAAATGTAGCAACATATTGGAAACAATTAAAATGACTTAATACTATAGATAGAATTTTATTGTGAGAAAAACAAATTGGGGCCATATATTTTTCATGGTTGCATGTTGACATAAATTCAGTAAATTCAGGCAGTAGTTTCAAATTTTATTACTATTGTATCTATGGAAAAAATTGTGTTTATATTTTGTCTTTGCACATACTTTGATTAGTATTTGATTCAAGGAAAAAATTGGGTTTTCCCCCTGTGACAACAATTCCAAACTACATCAGGTAATATAAACTAACCCTCACCTCTGAATCCTCATTCATTTTGCAGGTCACACAGATCCATCAACTCCACAACAGTAAGACAGCCATCACCTCCCACTCGCAAGCACAGGGATCACCTTGTGCCAGCGGAATGGGGAGAAATAGAAATCTGGGGAAAGGGTAGAGGGCCACATTTTTTCCCTTAGGCCCAGGGTTTTTTGACGCGAGCCCAAGGACACTGCCTGAGAGTCCCCAAATTGGTAGAGTCTTTGACATGTCAGAGATTTAGTGTAATACGAGGTTGTGTGTCCCTGCCGCTCAAAATTTGCCAATCACTCAACCTGTTGCAACCAACAACACGCTAATTCTCTCATCATATTTGCAACCTCCATCAACACTCATGCCTCACCCCCTCCCCCTTCCTCCCCTCCCCTCTCACCACCACCACTGTCCCTTCTGCACTATTCACCCAGCAAATGAGTGCATGTAGCCCCCTAATCTCTTCCAACTCACACTTGAACTGTCTTTTTCCCCCACTTGCCTTTACCACTTAAACTGAGCCCGGTCACTACGGTGATAGGAACGATGTGTGACTCACTAGTTGAGTCAGATCATCTGTATTCAGGTGACAGTGTTGACACATGACCTCAATTCATACAATGGAACATATAGTAGTTTACATGTACAGTACAATAGAGCCACCAGTATGGTCTGACATAGGGACACATAGCCCCCAAGCAAACCATAATAAACAGACTCAAAAGAAAAAGAAAAAAATTATTTCAAGCACGGACAAAGGATGTGCAAATGATATGGGCAGATTAATGATACACACCGTTGAAGAGTGCAAATAGAGCATTTATTTTACTGGTAGCAGGTCTCCCTACGGCTGATGGTGCAGATGCACCACTGCTGGCCAGTAAAAGAGTCTTTACACCTGTATCAAAGATTGCATCATCCCTTGCAATCAAAGCTTTTATATATCTATATCTAGATCAATAAAATATAATAGGATTACTTTTGTACTTCCTATCCTTCTGCCAGATATATATTTCCAAGCCCAGACAGAATGTGTCTTTACTTGCCTTGTCACTGGCTGCTTCCTTAGTGCATCAGGAAAAACACTTTGGCTATATAGACTCTAATAGTACTATAGTTGCAAATATAGTTGTCATAGTGATCATAGCTGCAATAGAAACCCCAACATCTATTCAGGAACAATGTGCTCTTATAGTACTCTTATAGTTGGCTATAGCCTCTTATAGCACTTATAGCACTTATAGTATATGGATGACTATATGAGCTATGAGAGAAATGGTGGCTGATTTAAAAAAATAATCACACACACAAGGTTTAAACTCTCAACCTGTTGGTCCACTTTTTGCTGACCAATTAATCTACAACCACATACCACACATTTATCCACTACACCATAAAAGCTTACAAAATATACTATACATGTGTAATATATTGACCTTCCATGGACTTGTAATTTATTTTACACATTGTCACAACTTATAGTTGGATAAAACATTGCTATAAATATGTACTATGGACTTAACAGCTATATAGGCTATTATAGCTATAAGAGCCATTATAATGCCTTGGATAGCTATATAATATTATACTGATGCTATATGTGCTCAAACTTATAGTACTATCAGAGCTATAATAGCATAAATAGTATTGCCTCTGCTATATAGCCAAAGTATTTTTCCTAATGCGGTGGGCTCCTTGGCCTTGCCTTTACCTTCTGTCCACACTTTACCATTGATTGTTGTTGCAATTGGCTCATCACCATCTGAATTGTCAGTGTCACTGCCTATCTTGGTATCGGAGAGGTCAATGACTATAACAACCAAAGTTTGTATACTCTGGTGCATGTCAAAGACACATAAGGAGAGTGAATAAAAAAGAGGATAATCTCCCTTAGGTAGGACCAAGTTTGTTATGGGTAAATAACAGGAGGACTTTCTGAGGAGTCTCCTTGATCTATTGGGGTTTTTATACTACTACAGGGTATTTGTACATATTGTACTATACAGTTCATAAAGGCAGTGGCTGATGATGTCATAGGGTGAAGCCTATGTGACCAGCTCCACTGCGTGAGAGACTTGTAGCTAAAAATAAGAAAAAGCAGTGCAATGCGAGAAAGTGGAGTTTGAATAAAAGGAAAGTGCTGCATGGTAAAAATGTGTGAAAACTAAGAAAGAAATATGAAGCGGAGAAAGAAAAGATGTAAGTCCAAAAATTGTGTATTGTAACAATGACAAATAATAGATCCTCTTTCTTCCTTTCAACACAAATTATGTAGGACTGCTGTAAATAGTAATTTATATCAGGCACTAGATTATAATTTAGATTTGCTTACCGTCAAATCACATTGTGTGATCAGTTCCAGAGGAATGGGGTAAATAATACATTTTTGCACTGATTTTCTTGCACAGTTGCATTGCAAGTGGGCCCAGTGGTGTCCGGATAATCAACCTGGTGTTAATTTACAATATTAATAAAAGCAAAGGTGACAGCAAGATGATGGACATACATCGCACCTCAATTGCTCATGAGCTTGTTTGACTGCTTTGAACAAGGGATGACAAAACTGGATAAACCCAGTCTCATCTAAAGCTGCTAAGTAACCATTGTTCTGCATGAAGCATAACCACCACTCCATGGAGTCACCCATTGTTCTCCTAGGAGCAAAATTGTACTTCTACTACTAGGAGTCATTATATCATAGTAAGTAGCACCTCTGACTATAAGTAGTAGGGGGCTTAGTATAGGAATACCGCAGTCATTTCTATAACCTCTCTGGCAGCAGCTGAGGTATGTTATATTATATTCCATAGAGATTACCTTAAACTAGCATCCATTGTAGTTTCACTTAGTTTTATTAAGGGATTTAATGGTTGACTTATGGGACCCTATTGCTTCACTAATTCCTAACTGAGATGCTTGCTAGCAGACAATTTCCCCAACATCTATCCACATAGGAATAAAATGACACTAATGGGGTTGCACAAGAACATCCTTTGTATTATTATTGATTGCTGCACGGAGAGCCTCGTCAGTGTAACAACCAAAGTTTGTATACTCTGGTGCACAATGAAGACAGGAGAGGTGAGTGAAGGAGAGGGTAATCTCCCTTAGGGTAGGACCAAGTTTGTTATGGGTAAATAATAGGAGGACCCGCTGAGGAGTCTCTTTAATCTATTGGGGTATTTATACTACTACTACAGACTATTTGTATATGTGTACTATACAGTTGATGAAGGTAGTGGCTGATGATGTCATAGAGCACAGCCCATGTGACCAGCTCCACTGCATGAGAGACTTGTAGCTAAGAATAAAGAAAAACAGTGTAGTGCAAGAAAGTGGAGTTTGAACATAATGAAAAGTGCCGCATGGCACAGTGTGTGAAAACTACGAAAGAAAGTTAAAGTGGAGAATGAAATTTAAAGATCCAAAAATTGTGTATTGTAACACTACCCCCTTTTCAAGGCTCTGCTTCCAGGAGAGACTAAGTACCAGGTAGTGATTAAATTTTTTAGCATAGGTTGAAAAAGGGAATTAAAAAAGGTTGAATCCATGCCTCTGAGATCCCTAGGAGC